CCTGAATCCTATTCCTTGTATTTTGGAGACATGATGAAGTAGGTAGCCGTGAATGTTATTATACGAGATGTAATCCATTCATTCTTGAGAAAGAAGTAGATAAATAATTCTCTTGAGTGTTGATTCAATACTTGGATTAGTAAGAGCGCTATGGTTCATGAATGTGTTTTATGAATCACTATCCATTAAAGAATCAATGGTATTCAAGGATGAAGATATAATTAGAGAGGTTAACGGATTCTACCTAGCTCTAATTATGGATTATTTATGGAGGATTGATCTATATGCAATGACTATATCAAATGGGCACTTCACAGTTTAGAAGTAATTAATGTCTATAATTTCGAGAGTTCAATTCCAAGTTTATAGTGGAGTAACTATTAGAATTAATATAATTAATTAATTAATTAAAGTGTTTAATTAATTATTAATTTTATTGGAGCTCGGGATTATAGGTCCATTAGTCCCTGCGTCGTCTTTGTAATTCTACCAGACACAAAGGACAAAATGGAAATTTTAGAATTATGGAATTCTAAAATTAAATACTCAAAAAATAATTAATTGAGAATTAATTATTATTTAAATAATGTGATTATTTAAATTTGAATTTGAATCATGAACATAATTTAAATTTATCCTTTTAAACTTATTTGATAAGTTGTTCAATTTAGAATTCAAATTAAATTTAAGTTTGACTTAAATTAGAATTAGAATTAGAATTAAAATTGGACTACAGGATAAATGATGATTTTCTCTTCCTTCCCTATCTGTAATTGGCACCACACACAAGAATAAGAAACCCTAGCATGGCCGGCCACAAGGTGATAAGGTAGAGGAGAATTTTTGTTCAAAATTCAAATAGGAGAGAGAGATTTGATTCATTCCAGAAGTTAGACTTCTACTCTATAAATAAGATATGATGAAAAATTACGCGGGAAAATTTTTTAACATAACTTGAAGGGGGCTGGCTGAATTTCCCTTATAGAGAGAAGGAAAAATTTTTTCTCTTAAAAAAATTTCACATCGTGCATGCGTTGATGTTTGTGGAAAATTTGAGTGTTTGATCAAACTCGTTTTAGTCTCGAATGTGCCCACACACACGTTTACGTAGATTCAAGAAATTGACGTGGAAGACTTTGGTTTTCTAAACACAAGGCTTTGGAGCAAGGATCGTTCGTGGTCAAAGAACTCAAGTTATCATCCGAGTCGGTCTCCAGGTATTTTTCCTAATTGAGTTCTTGATATATAAATTAATGTGATTAATTTATTCGTGCATAAATTAATATAATCTATAGAGTATCTCAAAAGTTTTATGAAAATTTTTGTTATACTTGATCCGCCCTCCCGTCACGCTTCCGCATCCGAATTCGATTCGGTTACTAACAAAATGTCCATCGAAAACCACGGCTGCAAAATGGACATGGAACAATGCATCTGATAAACGACTGTACACCATCACACTTTTTTGTCGTGTTTTTTGAAGGAGCAAATGCAAACACTCTCTCACGGTTATAACGACGTCATTTATAGCTAAAAGTCAGCAAATTTAAATGCAAACGATGTCTTTTGATTTTAAACGACATGGCGACGCCCGATTAACGATCCGTTATTTTTATAAAAGAAAATGACATACCATTTATATAATATAATCAAATGACGAGTTATGTGACAGATGTTGTTTTTTGAGGATTATTATCGAAGCACAACAAACTTAAAAAGGAAAAAGAAAAAGAAAAACAGCCATATCATTTGTTGATATTAGTGGCATGATTTTCCATCAAAACATTGAGTTTGGTAATATGTTAGATATACTAAATTTATAGTTTATTTTGCTTTTTAGGTTAGATCGTGGACATTTTTTTTTTTCTCCTGATGAACTTATTTGTTTTGAGTAATCACTTCCATTTACAGATGCAATTATTTAACAGCAAATTTCATTAGTAAAGTGTTTAGCGGGAGTTTTGAGTAATTCAATGAATTGAGCTTTGGTTAACTGACCCGACTCGAGTAAGATGGTTATAACAGAATTTTCATGAGATAATAATCAACTATGAGGAGACTATTTAAAAATCAAATATAAAGGACACAGATAATAAGCCCAAACGCCAAAGTCAAGATAAGAAGCCAAAAAATGCACCAAAAGATAAGAATTGCAATCAGTAGGGATAAACACACTAGGAATCGAACTCAAATTTGGATATGTCAGTATCAACCAACTTAAGCTGGTATAATAAAGATGGTTTACCCTGTGTATCCTAAGTCCAATTTTTGGCAAAGAGTTCTTGTGCATTCTTGTATTCTCTCTTGAAGTTATACTGAAATCACCCTCTATTTTGAGGAACTACACAAGGGACGTAGCTGGGGGTGATCCACTACAAACTTTGGTGCTCGTTCTCTTTTACATTTCCTTTTTATCCCAGTTATTTGTCTATTTCATTGAGCTAATTTTTACACGATTACTTTGTTGGACGAATTTTCACTATTAACGAATTTTTAAAAGAAAACACGCTATTTATTTTTTAAAGAAAACTATTCATATTACTAATGTGTATCAATATCAATATTTAACTAAGTTTGATTCTTTTATTAAAAAAGATATTTAACTACGTCCTTTTCTAGCTAATATTTACATCAACAAAATAAGAAAGAATTCATGGCTCCGTCTAGAATAGAATCGAGGAGAACTCTTCCACTACAGTCAAACGACGACGTTTCAAATGTTAGTCCACTTCGAATGCCACGTCGCATTTCATCATACCATCAACAAATTTTTCTCTCCGTCTGTCTGCATAACAAAACCCAAAAACATTAAAAAAGGAGAAAAAAAAATAAAAAAATTCAATATTTCTCTCTAACAAAAACTTGTCCTCCACTCTTCCCCCAATTTTCCTAAGCAGCCTTTTAGATTGTTAGATAATAGAAATTAGAGAGAGAGTGTGCATAGAGAGACGGATTATGCAATAGTACCGTCCTCGTCCAGCACCTGTCCGCAGTCCCCCAAAACCCTAAAAAATGCAAATCCATAAATACCCCTCTCTCTCTCTCTCTCCAACAATATGACTCCACCACCACCTAGCTTTTCTTCTCTCTCACAAATTCTCTACTCCAGAGCCTTCTGAAAAACTTCCTTCCACATTCCAACAAATTCATCAAAACCTCCCTCCCTCTCTCTCTCTCTCTCTCTCTCCGATTCCATTTCCTCCTCCTCTCGCAGTCTAGTCGGTTCGTTTTTTTTTTTTTTTTTTCTTTTCCCTTCCTCGGTTTTACCCTCCGATCTTCCATTTCTCCGAGTTTTTGCTCCGGTTCTCGCTTGATTTAGGGTTAGGGTTCGCGGTTCCGGCGCCGATCTTGATTCGATCGGTATTCGCGGAGTTTGATTTGCTTTGTTTTGAGCTTTTTTTGGTTTGTTTTTGTTTTTTTGTCGTTTTTCAGCAGCTTACTGCACTTTATGCTTCCAAGAAAGAGACCTTGCGAAGGAGTGGTTGTAGAAGAAGGCAGTGGTATCATCAACAGCAGTTCGGACACATCTATCATCAAGAAGCATCGGATCGGTGCCGCCGCCGGTGGAACCGCCGAATCGACGGTGAAGAACGGCAATAGCAGCGTCAGCGACGGTAACGTCAACGGAAGTGATAGCGTAGCTAGCGAAGGAGAAGAACAGGAGATTACGATGGCTCTCGGCGATTCCAACACTGCCGATATCGATGAGGATCTTCACAGCCGGCAATTGGCGGTCTACGGCCGCGACACCATGCGGAGGCTCTTCGCGTCCAACGTCCTTGTCTCTGGGATGCAGGGTCTCGGTGCTGAGATTGGTAAATATCTCTAGAAATTTCTTGTTAACTATAAACTTTTGCTATGTTTAGACACGAGGTTTTGATTTTGTTAATTTTTCTGTTACTGATTATGCATTTTTGCAGTTATATGGCTTGTATTAGTACTGAGCTTGTGTTAGATTTAGCGCTTTAGTGGCTGTTCCTATTGTTATCCTAGGGATCTTGAGTTATCTCCTAAATTTCTTGTATCAAGTGACGTAGCAACTGAGCTGTTAATCTTCGATTAGTAACATTAAATTTCCAATAAATTGATTCACCTGTTGAAAAATGACCATTATTTGGGCACATCTCTTGGTACAAAAGTTCTGGTGGATAGCTTGAGATCCTTATTATTATCCCTAGGACTCGGATGGCTTAATTTGGCTTAGGCATTTTTAGTTAAGACCTGATCCAGCTTGTAGCCTCTTCCTGTTTTGTTGTCTCTGGAAGAATTACTTATTTTATTTTTTTTTTCATTGGACTGGAGATGATTTTGAGGCTAGTTTGTATTATTAAACTTCTAGTTTTGCGGTTTTAAATCATTACGTCACAATTAGGAAAAGGAAAAGTTTTAGAATTTTATGTGACATTTGTAGGACATGGATAGTTCTAACGTAATCTCTGCTTTGCAGCAAAGAACCTGATTCTTGCTGGTGTTAAGTCTGTGACTTTGCACGATGAAGGGAATGTGGAGTTATGGGATTTATCCAGTAATTTTATCTTTTCTGAGAATGATGTTGGTAAGAACAGAGCGCTCGCTTCTGTTCAGAAGTTGCAAGAACTTAACAATGCTGTACTTGTGCAAACCTTGACTACGAAGTTGACAAAAGAGCAACTTTCTGATTTTCAGGTACTCCCAATTTGTGTCAATTCCTGGTTGATATATTATATAATTGTTTTGTTTATTTATGTAAAGTGCTAAGTTCACTTCTTTCTGTAGTATTTGGACCCTCTTGTGTAAGAGTTTCTGGTCATTTTTTTTTAAGTTAATGGTGGCGTTCGGGTATTCGATATTATGGAGATTAGAGCTTGGTGAATATCTTATAGCTTATGTTGGATTTGATGCCACATATGTGTATATTTCTTTCTGTTGTATTTCTCTTATCTATTTGTAGGATCATCTATTTATGTGATATCATATTGCAGGCTGTTGTATTCACTGACATAAGTCTTGAGAAGGCTATTGAATTCAATGATTACTGTCATAACCATCAGCCTCCTATTGCCTTCATTAAGTCTGAAGTTAGGGGTCTTTTTGGTTCCGTCTTTTGTGACTTTGGATCTGAATTCACGGTTGTTGATGTTGATGGAGAGGAACCACACACGGGAATTATTGCATCCATCAGTAATGACAACCCTGCTCTGGTGTCATGTGTTGATGATGAACGACTCGAGTTTCAGGATGGGGATTTTGTTGTGTTCTCTGAGGTTCGGGGAATGACAGAACTGAATGATGGGAAGCCAAGAAAAATTAAAAGTGCAAGGGCTTATTCATTCACTCTTGAGGATGATACTACAAATTTTGGTGCCTATGAGAGAGGTGGTATTGTTACACAGGTGAAACAGCCCAAAGTGTTGAAATTTAAGCCTTTGAGAGAAGCACTTAATGATCCTGGTGATTTCCTATTGAGTGATTTCTCTAAGTTTGATCGACCACCCCTCCTCCATTTGGCATTCCAAGCTCTAGATAAGTTTGCTTCAGAGTTAGGTCGATTCCCTGTTGCAGGCTCAGAAGAGGATGCTCAGAAGCTTATAACTATTGCTGGTAACATCAATGAAAGTTTGGGAGATGGGAGACTAGAGGATATCAATCCAAAACTTCTGTGGCACTTTTCTTTTGGTGCCAGGGCAGTACTTAACCCGATGGCTGCCATGTTTGGTGGCATTGTTGGTCAGGAGGTAGTAAAAGCTTGCTCCGGAAAGTTCCATCCACTCTTCCAGGTAAGGAAATATACATCTTTATGAAGTTTTAGACTTTTATTGATTAAAAATTCTATCTTGTGTACCTATGATTTGTGATGCGGAAAAGTTGAGCTGTTCACTTCTTGATTTTATGGATGTTCGAGTTACTTGCCTTGTTGACATGAAATTTGTGCGTTTGTCTCTTTCTACACATAAGCAAATAAAAGTGCATGCACGCTTATACAACACATGTAAAACACCAATTCTGGCCCACTTAAATATGGGGTTTACGGTTTACTACATAGTTGACATTGATTCTTAATGCATTTCTTACAAGTCTACCTATTATTTCCCAAAAAGTATTTCTTGTGCCAAGATGTTGACTGAGTGCAATAGTGAATGCTATTTGAGGTGTCTTTCTGGTTGTGGGAAGTGGGAACATAATGTTAACACTTTTTTCTTTTTTTTCCCCCTCTTTTTCTCTCAGTTCTTCTACTTTGACTCAGTGGAGTCACTTCCAACAGAGCCTCTAGATGCCAGTGATTTTAGACCATTGAATAGCCGATATGATGCTCAAATTTCTGTTTTTGGGTCTAGGCTCCAGAAGAAACTGGAGGATGCTAAAGTGTTCATTGTTGGATCTGGTGCTTTGGGCTGTGAGTTCTTGAAAAATGTTGCCTTAATGGGGGTTTCATGTGGCAACCAAGGTAAGCTAACAATCACGGATGATGATGTTATTGAGAAGAGTAACCTCAGCAGGCAATTCCTGTTCCGTGATTGGAATATTGGGCAGGCAAAATCTACAGTTGCTGCTTCTGCTGCTGCATCAATAAATCCTCGTCTCAATATTGAAGCTTTGCAAAATCGAGTTGGCCCTGAAACTGAGAATGTATTTGATGATGCCTTCTGGGAGAATTTAAGTGTTGTGATTAATGCTCTAGACAATGTGAACGCCCGGCTTTATGTTGATCAGAGGTGCTTATATTTCCAGAAGCCGCTTCTTGAATCAGGAACTCTTGGTGCCAAATGCAACACTCAGATGGTCATTACTCACTTGACAGAAAATTATGGTGCTTCGAGGGATCCACCTGAGAAGCAAGCTCCCATGTGCACGGTGCATTCCTTTCCACACAATATTGATCACTGCTTGACATGGGCCCGATCTGAATTTGAGGGTTTGCTTGAGAAGACACCGACTGAAGTAAACACATACTTGTCCAATCCAAGTGAGTATGCGATGTCAATGAGAAATGCTGGTGATGCCCAGGCCAGAGATACCTTGGATCGTGTTCTTGAGTGTCTTGACAGAGAAAAATGCGAGAGTTTCCAAGATTGTATTTCCTGGGCTCGCCTAAAGTAATTCCCTATATGATTATGCTGGTTTATTTTTATTTTCTAATCTTTATTTTTTACAACTCTGTTAGAAATTACAAAACATATTTTTTCATCTGATCATTTCCTGATGTCATGCATTTTGTTTCTTAGGTTTGAAGATTACTTCGCTAACCGTGTGAAGCAGTTGATATTTACTTTTCCTGAAGATGCTGCAACCAGTACTGGGGCTCCATTCTGGTCAGCCCCTAAGCGATTCCCGCATCCTCTGCAGTTCTCAGCTGCCGATCCTGGTCACCTCCATTTTGTTATGGCAGCATCAATACTAAGAGCGGAGACATTTGGTATTCCAATTCCTGACTGGGTTAAAAACCCTAAGAAGTTGGCTGAAGCTGTAGATAGAGTGATAGTCCCTGAATTTCAGCCCAAGGAAGGTGTCAAAATTGAGACTGATGAGAAGGCCACCAATGTTAGTTCTGCTGCGTCTGTAGATGATTCACTGATAATTAATGAATTAATCACGAAGTTGGAGCACAGTCGAGCAAGCTTGGCACCAGGGTTTAAGATGAAACCAATTCAGTTTGAGAAGGTCTCTCTCTCTCACACACACACACACACACGCATGCACACAATTCCTTGATGCATTTTTGTTTTTTTTTTTGTTTTTGGGTTCTAAGGTCAAGCTATGCTCCCTTAATTATTAGTTGTTCAGAGTGTCTTGATCCAAGTCGCTGAGATAAATTATTTTATGTTATGTGCTTTAATATCTGTGGATCAGTGGAATGATGCTTGGGATACACACACCCATATGTAAGAAATAGCCGTAGTGTATATGAAGTGTCCCATAGACCTGTACCCATTTCTGAGTTTCTTGTAGTTGACTTGTTTTACATAATTGAACTCAACAGGAATTGGCCGTGATTAAGTCTTGGTAGTATTGGCACCGTTTCTTTATGCAATTTATCCTTGTTATCTTCATGATTCTTATGTACTATGCTGGAAATATCATACAGGACGATGATACCAACTACCATATGGACATGATTGCTGGTCTTGCCAACATGAGGGCCAGGAATTATAGTATTCCCGAGGTTGACAAGCTGAAGGCCAAGTTTATTGCTGGAAGGATTATCCCTGCTATTGCGACATCCACTGCTATGGCGACGGGTCTCGTCTGCTTAGAGCTATATAAGGTTTTGGATGGTGGCCACAAACTTGAGGACTACCGAAACACATTTGCAAATCTAGCACTGCCTTTGTTTTCAATGGCTGAGCCAGTTCCGCCTAAGGTCATCAAGCACCGCGAAATGAAGTGGACTGTTTGGGATAGGTGGATCGTGAAGGACAATCCAACTCTGAGGGAACTTCTTGAGTGGCTAAAAAATAAAGGGCTAAATGCTTACAGCATCTCCTGTGGAAGTTGTCTGCTGTATAATAGTATGTTCACGAGACACAAGGATCGAATGGACAAGAAGGTGGTGGATTTGGCTAGGGATGTGGCGAAGGTAGAGTTGCCCGCATACCGCCGACACTTGGACGTGGTTGTGGCATGCGAGGACGATGATGACAATGATATTGATATCCCATTAGTATCAATTTACTTCCGTTAAGTCGTATTTCTAAATCCACCGATGCTGTCGGAATGTGATTTTAGGATGAGAGCCCTGAAATAATTCTTCTGACTTGCTTTGAAATGAATTATCTCGGCACACATGTTGAATATTTTTTTAAGTTATGTTTCATATATAATTCTGAAAGACCCCTTTAGTTGGATTTGTGGTATTTGCATTTTTTTTTCTCTCTTTCCGCTTCTTTTATTTCATTGCTGTAGATGAAGCCGTTTTTGCTTTGCTCTTGCTTTAAATGGGAGATGGGTTTTGTTTTTGGTTTTTGTTATTACTGGGTTTGTGCCTTTGTTTTTTCGTATGTTTTTAGTTTGTCAAAGAATTGAAGTATAAATTACGACATTTTTGGTTAGTATTTGGAACAACTGATTTTAAATAATTAACTTTTGAAGGTTTTGTTTTGGTTATTTTTCAATTAGTAGTTAGAAATCATATTTCTTAAAAAAGTATATTTAGTTTATAAAATATTTAGAATCGTATTTCAGTTCATATGTTTTGTTTAATCTGCTTCTGATGGAAAAGATAATTTAGCTCTTTAATTATGAGTAATAAAAATATTAGAACGAAACTTTAATGAAATTCTTGTACAAGTTCAAATGTTTATAGGGATGTTTTTCGAGTTTATTTCTATTTCAGTTCCAAGGATCATTACTGGTACAAATTTGACTACAGGTACAGGTACTAATTTTAGATAAAATAAAAGAAACCTTGCAAGATTTGTCCTAGTTATGATGGGCGGAACATGAAAACATGTCCTAGTTGGGCGGAACATGAAAACATGTCTTCAACCTTTAAGAGGAGCTAAGGTCAATAAATCGCATTGATATGCAGTTGTCGTAGTGAATATAATCCTTTACGAAATGACAACGTTTTTCTTGAAGCTTGTAAAGAAACAATGACGTTTATATAGTCGAACTAAACCAAGGGAAAACAAGGAAAACTACGACCGCGTTCAAAGCTCCGATGTAGAATGCTAGGATTAACAAGGTCAGAACGCTAAACGCGCACATATTATTAGACTGCATAAGTTATAATGGCAGAACGGCTACACATGATAAAGTTTAGTTTTTTAATCAAACATATGGCAAAATCTAATCTAAGGACTAAAAGCTAGGCAATGAAACCGTGCCGGATTACCCACAGTGGCCTGTTGGGTTGCCGGAACTAGTATTTTTATTGAATATGAAAGTATGATTGTATATTTTGGTAGGTTATTCCCTGAGGACACTCTATCTCATGTACTAAATAAAGGACACCAAGAATTTAAAGTGGTTCACCCTTCTCAAATGAGAGCTATATCCACTGTATTTTTATTACTTTTGATTCATATGTTTACAAGAGGATTCTAACGTGTTTTTGGCCAACCCCCTCTCTCAGGGAGTCTTTCTCCTTATATAGCCCGAAGGTGGGCGGTTTGGACCAGTGGGCTTTTCCCTCGAGTAGCCTACTGCCTTATCTGTCCAGCACGTAGCCTGCCAACATCTTTTGGACTGTTCACTCACTCAATTTGTCCCCTTATTACGGCTCTGCAGTCCCTCTGTAATACCTTTTGACTTATCCCAGGCGGTTTATGGGGCTTGTAATCATTTCCTGTGCAACTAACCTCCTCCGAACTCATACGCAATGTTGGGATATTCAACCAGTCACCTCAGTGGCCTCGGGATGAGGAGTCGGCTGTTAGAGCTTGCCCTCTGCACATGCCCTGACATCTGCCAAGGGTGGCCTTCCGCGGCCGACTCTATCGCGCTACTTTGCCCGCTGGTTTCACAGACCTCAACTGTGTATACGGTCGACGGTCTCAGTCTTGTATGCTCGGCTCTCTTGCTACTCAGGAGGGACTAGCAGGCCTTAGGCGTTGAGGGTTACATGACGTGGCAGGCACGGGGGCCACGTGTGGCTTGCTCGTTGTTCGACGTGTCGTGTGTGAAATTCCCATACAACAGATTTAATCCACATTTTCGCGCGCTCACAAGTATATAAATAGAGGTGACTACAAAGGAGAAGATACGCTTTTCTCATTTCAACTAGCTTGAGAATCGTGCCTGAGGCACGTCCTGTTCTTAACATTTTTTTTTTTTCACTTTGCAATTTGCATTTTTTTTCACATTATTTAAAATTATTAAGTATGATACAATGTTTTTTAATTGTTTCTTTTAATAAATAAATAAATATGTTAATAATTTGACTTATTCTCTTTTTTTTTTTAAGTCAAACTGGAACACGACATGCTAATCATGTTCTTTTTTAAGGATGCCGACAATGTTTTAATAATGATTTTATACAGATTTGACATTTAAGTGATTTTATACAGATTTGAGGAATTGAAAACTTAACCTACCGGTATGTTAATATACCGGAGAAAGTCTCTAATGATAAATACAAAAAATATAGTCAATTTATAATTATTTTTCAAACTAAAAAATGATATTCATAAATTTTTTTTCAATAACTGTGTAAACTCACTAAGAAATTCTAAGTTTTAACCTAAATAAAATTATGGTTTTATGAAAATCAACAATTTCATATTATACATAATGATGGATGGAAAAAAAAGGTTGAGAAACATATATAAATCTTCTCTACTATAAGTATAGATATATAGTAAGAGTATAGAGATTCACAAATAACAATATTTATGCAAGTAAAAAATAATAATAAGTGAGGTGTTAAAGAGAAAATTAATGAAAAAAAAAAATTAATAGGAAACAATGATAAATATTTAAAAAAGAAGAAAAAGCACAATATTTAAGATACAATTAAAGAAAATTGAAAGAAAAAAAAAAGCTGAAAAAAAAAAATTAAAAAAAAAGCTTGAAAGCAAGCAATTAGTTAAAAAAAAAAAAAAAAAAAAACAAAAGCTAGCAAGCAAACAGTTGAAGTACAAAATTTCATACCTCATCCGCTCTTCTTCTATAGAAGATATTGAAACTCTTTTCTAATTTTCTTTGGGTAAATTTCTGACTTGAGCATTGGAAATTTTTTTTTACAAGAACCCCCATTTCTCACATTCTAGTAGTTTAGAATTAGATAAGTTTGTAGAACAAGAGTTAAGAGGGTAACAGTTGTTGGGATCACGAGCAAATTGCTACCCCAACAATAGTGTATGAGAAGAAACTGAAAAGGGAAAATCCAAAAAAAAGAAAAAAAAAATGTTTTCAAAAGATCGGTTGTCTCATTCATATAATTGTTTTGACTGTCCTATAAGAAAGGATATACATCCTATAATAATTAGAGCAATACCAATGTAGTAATGTACTATTTCCTCCAAGTATAATGGCTTCCTTGGAAAAAGAATTTCTACAACCGTTACTGTAGTATCAATCTTTATCTGCACCTTCATCAAAAGCAGCGGAGCCAATGCGGAAGTCCAGTTGCTTTTGATGCTTCAGTCGTCGACGCTCATCAAAACTCTTCCATCCTTCACACTGTCAGAAAAAGTTCCAATTATTCCAACAACATTTCCAAACCTCTTAATTTACTTGAACAATTGATGTTTAAAGTACATACCTGACGAAGAACATCCATTGTGATTTCTGTGTTGTGCAAATCCAGTGTCGTCAGTTGCAGGCACATCTTGAATAAAGTTGAAGGGATGGATTTTAGCCCATTATTGTCGAGATGCAATGACTGCACGTAGCAGGAAGAGTAGAGTTATAGTCAAAAAACAAAATGCAGTTTCCACATGTCCATCGATGATCTACAAAAGTTTGCACGGCTCAAGCTTCTGATTGCTTCAGCACTATGTTTTACATATAATTGTGTTCCACCAACATGTCCAACACTTTTTTTTTTCTTTTTCTTTTCTTTTGTTTCTTTTTTTTTGGTAATGGTTACGTACCAACATGTCCAACACTCGTACATAGTCAATACAGCCTTCCTAAAGTCTCTATTCTAATTTTTCAGGTGAGCGTAAACAGTGGGAGCATAAACTAGCTAGTTGGATCGTAGCGGGTTAAGCTACTCGTCACACAGAAAAGGGAGGGAAAAAATAGTTAAAAAAAAGGAAAAGAAAGAATCTCAAGGAGGAAAAAAAAAAACAAAAACACAGACCTTCAAATTATGCAAATTTCCAAATGTATCAGGCAACTCGGATAGAAAGTTTGATGAAAGATCAACCTGCATTGAATCAGAACCAAGTCAAGTGCAATAGATTTGTACTCCCTAGGATTTTTTTCCCTCTTTTTTTTTTTTTATATACATATATATTTTTTTTCTTGTTGGGGAATGCATAAGTTAGAATAGATAACGAAGAGTTGAAAGCACAGAAAGAAAACAATACCTCAATAAGGGCACCGCAATCCTCAATGCATGCAGGGATGGTACTTATCCTGAGCAAGGTACAGGTAACATCAATCGAAAGAAACCACCTTAATAATCAGGACTAAATTTCTAACCACCAAAGAGATCCCTCAGTTCCTACTTCAAGGCATTATGAAGCACCAGAGGAAATTAGAAACTAGTAATATAGATACAAAATATTTTGTGCTTCCATGCCCAGATGCAATGTGGCAATTAAATTTTCACCACACCAAGAATGATAACTAAACACAACGCCAAAAAAAAAAAAAAAAAGGACAAATTTTACAGAGTACATCTGTGCAAAGTTCAAGCGTCATGGGGAAAATAAGTCATTTATGTGGTAAACAGAGATCTTCTACTTTCTAGTTTCCAAGCATTACCTATTACTGTTGGCTTTCAACACTTCAAGCTGATTCAGAAATCGTATTTCATTAGGGAGGCTAGTCAACTTGTTGATAGCAACATGAAGTTGCTTAAGTGAAGTCAACCCTCCCAGAGCAGATGGCAATGTTGTTAAACTGCATAAGTAGATTAATAACAAAACATTAATCGACAAAAGAAACGGAAAGTTGATGAGGAACTGTCTTCAAAATTCATATTATAAATAATGCACACAAAAGAGAGGACACACGCAGATATACATATTATATAGACGTCAACATGAAGTATGTGTGTTTGCTCAAGCCAGTGTAATCATATCATAGGGATAACCGTATTTGTTTGTCAGGTACACCCCTCTCTCTTACATGCATGTGCGCATATTTGGAAAAAAGTGAATAAAAATCTGGGCAAGCAAATACGGTTATAATATAACAATTTTACGCAAGAACGTTTTCTCATTTGTAGTTGCTTGAATTCGACTTCATAACGAATAAAACGAGCACCAAAATAGTAAAGCCAAAATGAACTTACTTGTTTTGATTCAATGATAGAACCGTTAGATACTTTAAAGATGCCAGTCCTTCCCAGCTAATGGATCCGTCCATTATATCATTTCCATTTAAGTACAACTTCTGTATAGTTTTGAACACGGAGTGTGAGTTTAGAATTGATCGTGAGAAGTTCACACAAAACGAAGAAATAAGTCTTCACCTGAATTTTCAAAGAACCAATTTTAAGAGGCACTTCTTGAATGGCATTGTTGCTGAGATCAAGAACTCTGGCAGAAACTTCAAAAGCCCAAACTTCATCAGGTATAGCCTTCAAATGCAACCGATAACCATTATTCAACCATTCGGAAACCCAAAGTCCTTAGAACACGTAGTTGCTATAAATTAAATTTAATTTCTAAATTCGTAAGTCCTTCCCGAGGAAAAAAAAAATGCTTAAGACGTATAACTTCTACAGATATACAAAAACAATGTTGCCGTATTAAAAAGAAAAAACCTTTTTACTTCTCAACCATCAAGTGAATGTGCTAACATAAATATACTTCTTATAACTTCATATAATGGACAACAGAGAAAAAAATGCACAAAGGCCGCATTAAATTTATAAAATATTCATCCGATAAAATCATCTTCAACTAAAAGATAGCCAACTACTTGTCCTGTTGCTGCATAAAGATAAGCGAGATAATGTGGATCCATTGCAAGGAGATATCCAGCCGTGTGAACTCTATTTATGCAACTGCCGAGTAAATATTGACATCTCAAAAGAAGAACGTTGCTGACAACTCAAGTGAGCATCCAAACATAAATTGATACCTTCAAGTTACATTCAGACAATGCTATAACTCCGGTAGTCTTCCAACGTTCCCATCGGTTTTTATCCAAAGCATCCGGCTTCTGTTCTTTAAAATGCTCTTTTCCCAATTTACCAGCATAGCCAGCCCTTGATACCGGACGAGTTTGAGCTTGTTTGAGAATAGGGCCACCCTGTAATATCCCCAAAATCAACAAATTACACACACACTAAAATCTCTATCCCCTTGTCCCTAAAGAATTATATTTCCACTCATATAACCTTTCTAGAGTTCTTTAAACATGTATACTATATCCAATAGATTAAGCCTTTCTTGTCTATGTATTGTTATGAATTCATCAAGAAATGATTTCTGCAATTCTCATGGAATTTTTGCTCCCAATGGCAGTAAAATGGTCCAAATTCTAAAAAAAAAAGAAAAAAAAAAAAAAACTGAAATTGAAATACCCCTTGGTGTAATCCCTGGGAAGCCATAAGCATAATCTTGGACCCATTGGTGACCTCAGAAGCCCTGATCGTCATTTCGTCCACCAAAAGCTTCCCTACCAAAACCGACCATACCCAACAGCTGTAAGTCAAATAATTATCACTTATTTTTGAAAAAAAAAAGAAAAAAAAAAAGAGAACCACCTTTGAAGATGAGCTTTTGGCCACGCGGAAGGACGTTGGTGAGAGGCTGGAGAAGGGATTTGAGGTGTTTGATGGTGGAGTCCGGCGATACAGAGATCGCTATCAATCCTCCGCTGAATTTCACGTTTATGCTTATGCTGTTGTCTTGCCCATCTTCTTTCGAAGCACCTCCTTCCATTGATTTTCTTCTTCTTCTTGAAGAGATTATTGCTATGTTTTTTTGCTATGAAATTATTGCTATGTAATATTCTTCAATCCGTTAGAATTTTTGGGTTCAACTACACTATTATAGAATATTTGGAAGTAATGGTAATCTAATGTCTATTTGGCATTTGTTAAGCAATCAAATTTCGGTTTCAGCATTCTCAAAATATTAAAAATGAAAAAAAAAATCGGTTATTGATTAAAAAAGTGTAAAATTGCATTCATGCACCTTCAGTTTCTCACCATTTGCATGTTGCACCCTAAATTTTTTAATTTGGTATTTTGGACTCAACAATGAAAAGTTCAACGTGTATCTTTGTAAAAATCTTGAATACTTTTTATCTACTAACTTATTGGATCACAATTATAAGAAATTTTAAATTTTAGGTGTTATTTAATAAAATTAAAAATTTAGAGTCCAAATTATCAAACACTAAAAATTTAAAATACACCAAATGCAATTAACTCTTTAAAAAATAATTAAGTTTACATATATCATCTGAATTATATATCCTTATTTTTCATCTCCGAAACATTAAAAAAACATTCATTCTATCCCCTAAAATTATATAAAATAATCAAAACACGGTTTAGGTCCTAATTTAAAATAACTTAGAAAATGGTATACTGTTGACATTTTATTTTTATTAGATCACTGACTTGTCAATTTTTAGTTAATTAAATACAATAGATGTGTTATCAAAGTGAAATGTAGTTTTTTTTTTTTATTTACCAAATATGTCTGATCATCTTCAAACAAATGTTTTATCATCATAATTGTCAAACCATTTCATGCTTCAAGTTCCAACATTAGTCTATTCTAAAAAAAAAAAAAAAAAAAAAAAGATCTTTGTGAAAAGAGCAAGACTAAAAATATTCCACCAATTTAATTCTAAAAAAAGTCCTCCAATCTCCGTTGACTAGTCCACCAGAAAATATTCCCCAGTTTTGGTAGTGGTAGATATGAAATTGCAAATCAGGGAAAAAGAAAAATGCAATACCCAAACCAAATTGGATGGAAATTTCTCTCATCTTATGAACAATCAAACAAATAGACCAGATACTTGCGATAGCATCTTGACATTTTGTTTTTTGTTTTTGTTTTTTTTTCAAGGAAGACTGAAAACGCTAAATGAAGGGTGTTACCAACAATCAAAAAGGAGAAAAACTTAAATTTAGAAACACCCCCACGACCATTCAATCAGTACTATTGCACTTTAAGAGTTCAAAATTTTTTAAAAAATTTAAACTTTTTTTTTTTTTTTTTTTAAAAGTTGAATTTTATTGCAAAGGAAGTGATATAGTGGTGCTAACTTTTTTAGTCATCGGATTAGGTAGAGCCGGATGTGATGCTTTTCATGTTGTGGGTCTTATTACATTGTCTATTAAAACGACATTGCATATGCAATTTTCTCCTGAAAAGTGAAAACTCTTCCTTCCTCATAGATAAATTATAATCAACAGACCCCATTTCAATAATTTGTGCAAAAAAAGGAAGAAAAAAAAGAAGATCTATATCACATTTGGGATTTACAGTTTTATTACACGGAAATGAGAAGATTAGAATGGATTCGAATTCTCCTTTTTCATCTTCTTTTTGTTGCCTTGTATCTTAAAACAGGACCGGGTTTCTGCTTGGACTAAACCTCTTGTCCCAATCCAGGTTGGTGGGGCCTTCACAAATGGGCTCACCAAGTAAAGACTAAGTTGATCAATCACGTGTGGTGTGAGTAACCATGCAATTCTTTCTCTCAAGTACAACATTGCAAAGCGTCATCATCCATTAATAATATGTGAATTCCGTAGTATAAAACTCATAAATAGAACTCATCTTTTATTAATAGGGATGTTTAATATCAATAGTATCTGTAATCATTTTTTTACCCTTATCATACCCAAAAAAAAAAAAAAAAGTAATTTAAGAGCTCTCTAGATTTCACTGCAAAAGTTTTTTTTTTTTTTTTTTTTTTGGGCAATAATTGATAGAATTCTGGTGGTGGCACAGGTTTAGAGCCAATAATTGTGCTTAGGGGATAATTTCTCAAATCCGATCGAGACTTTCAAGCTAGACACATGTGTAATAGTACCATTTTGGTGTAACAAAATGAATGAGACGGCAACTCTAATAAAAGAGAAGTTATGGAGTCCATTTCTATGCCACATTCTAGTCAACATGATTTTGGAGGGAAAATCGTTCAATTGTACATGTACAGAGCAATGTGAACGGATTTTGCCAGCTCAAGGTGAAGAAAAAAGGAGTGGCTAAAGAAGTGGTACCCAAATATATATATATATACATATATATATATATATATATATATAAATAAAAAATTAGAAGCTTTGGTTCACACGAGGATGTCTCTCTCTACTTGTTTTAATTTTATATTATTAAGAGCAATAAAATCGTAGAAAAAGAACTAAGTAAAAATAAATTTAGGTATAGTTCATTTTATCGATTTGAGTTTAGAATTTGAATTTTTCTACAGTAAAAAGCTCTTTGAAACAGTTACATCTAAGTTTTTTACTACAGTAAAAAGCTCTAACATAAATCACATCTCAACTCAAATTAAAAACTTAAATCAGCGAACTAAACGGACCTTTAATATTTTTATAGGAATCCACATTAATATGAGACTACATCATCTTTCAACGGGAGTAACTCACTGTAATAAAGATGAAATTTACAAAAGAAAATCACACACCTCACAAATCTCAATATTTTTATTAGAACATAATTAAACTCTACAACTTAACATTTCTCTTCCTCCCTCTAGATATTCTCTAAGATGTTAAAATGAAAGGAAGAAACGAAGGAGCATGTGGGTTTACACACTTTTTTTTTCCTTGCTCTTGTGCTCAGAGACCACCATGTGAAACTTTTCAGAATCCACCCTCTTTTCTACCATCAACCCTTTACCTTTTTTATTTATTTATTTATTTTTATTTTTTACGAACAACAGTTATTCAGAACTGCCAAAAACATGCCTTGTCTCTGCACCGCTGTAACAATAATAATTATATACAATATGGTCCCCATACACACATGTTGGAGAGATCATTATACTTCTTCTCTCTTTCTTTCTTTCTCTATGATTCTTCATTTTTCATTTTTTTTTTTTTTCCTTTTTGCTTCAATGTCTAATTCTGGTCCAGGGTTAGACAGGAGAGGATTAATTGTGGATTAGCTTTTGTGGTGTCAGAAGGTGAAGATGTTGGCAAACTGTGAGCAAATATTATCAAATTGCCACTAAATTCATGGAGTGGTCACTGGTCTCCCATACTCTTGCATTGAAAAGGTGCTTGTGCCGTTAAAGTTTCCTTAGTTTCCCATTTTGAGAATTGAGATTGGAGGCCAAAAAAAAAAAAAAAAAACAGCCACAGTTAGACTCTTTTTTATTTTTTATTTTTTATAAAGTGATAGTGAGATTATATTACTCAACAGAAGCCATATAGACTCTCACAATTAAATAGATGCAACTAGAAACTTCTTCTAACCAATTGAATAGAAGCCACAGTTGATTGATTTTTATTTATTTGTAGGGGACTATAGTTAATTGATTTCGTGATCTTACTAGAGAATGACTACTGCCGACTTTTTTTATACCATTGATGGAGGTACTACATTTAAATGCGCATAAAGTTTCTGACAAACTCATAAGCATTTAAAGTAGAAAATTTAAACCCACATTTCATCTTAAGAAATTGTCACGAGGATAGCAACGAAGGCAACGTTGAGATGTGAGGGTAGCAGTTAATTCTGACTTTGATTTAGATAGCAAAATCCCTCTTTGTTTAAAGTATGTAATCAACTCATTTAATTATCCAAAATCTACTAAATTAACTTGATACTTGAATCCTTATCCTTAATTTTGTGACTCATCATTACCACCATACGAACACTGCCAAAAAAAAAAAAAAAAAAAACCCTCAACTTTTTAATAGGGTTTTTCCCCTCAAATTTTGATGTGTTCTAATATTGTGCAAGAGTGAAATAAATAAATAAACACATAAAAAAGTATCGAAATTGACCAACGCCATCGGCCCACATGATCTTAATATCTGTACTTAGGAAAATGATTATTGAATCTAGTAAACTTAAGAGGACGTCTAGTCTATAATTATAGATATTAATTAAAACTAATAAAAGAACCTTAACTGCTAAATCAGAGCCTCCCATCCCTGTTTAGCAAATAGATCAATGATACTATTTTAAATAAATCATCATCGAAATCCATGTAATTTATAAAATATTTGTATTTGGGGGCTAATGACCAATTTAGAATCGATTGGAGTTGATTAAGTGTGATGAATAATGAATAATATATGTTGACAGTGTATTTTCGGCAACTCGTGATTACCTCTCCGAAAATACTCACGTTGACACTCACGGTTTGATTAAGGATTAAGACTGAAAAGTAATGCAAAGGAGACAATAAGTTTTATAGTGGTTCGACAATAATCCTTTGCCTAATCCACTTGTGCATGCACTAATCTTTCAACCGGTTACAATCTCTCTTTCTTTTGCAATGAAATGGTGTCTAACCCTCCTCTCGGTTTTCTTGGCTCTATTTATAGGCCTTTAAATGTGAATACTTATTCCCCGTTCCCAAGGAGGAAGCCATCTTCTGTCCTCGATCCGCGTGAGGGTAGGTGAGTTTTCATAATGACTGCTCTGGGAAATGCGGCTGATCCTTTCTGTCTGCCACCTGATTTCTTGACTCCTGCAGTAGCAGTCAGATCAATACTTCCCTCTTCGAGTTGATAAGACCGCCGGTAGAGAAGACCGACAGTGTCCCCTTGGCATCGCGGCGTCCGAAGGTTGAGTCACCTCGTCCGGCGCCTCTTCCCACATATGGCCCTTGACGTAGAAGGCACATTAGCCTCGGTCGTTCCCTTGACGCCAACGGCCGATCCTCTGCGGGGAGTCCTCGGCGTCTGTCGCTCGAGAGAGTGGTCGACCTCTCGACCATGGTGTAACAATTACCCCCTAGACTGGAACGTCGCAGTGTGACTTTCCTGGCTATACAACATCGAGGATGCCGCGTGGAAAAAGGCCTTCCTGTGGGTAAGGGCGGTTGCTAGCTGGTACAGTGATCATTGCGGCTGGTTTCTTGGGCAGTAGAGTAGTCACGTCGATTGCATC